TTTCAACAGAGTTTGGTCTTAATTGAAAACTCTGGCATCCAAGATGACAGGTGCATCCTTTCATTGAATGCTTAGCATTTTATTTATTAGTTTTTACTGTTGTATTAACAAAATGCAGCACAACACAAGGAAAACATATTATTGACTAACATTTTGAGGATAAAGACCATCTAAAGAGACAAATGAAGCAGTGATTGTTTATTTTTTAGTGAAACAGTGACATTTTTTCCTTTGAAAACTTTAAGGCCGAGTAACATTTTCAACTTTGAATTGAAATTCCTGTTCAAAATCKACAGCGAAAACAAATCTTAAGTGAAGAAAACAAGCAGCGAAAAGGTGGGTGGTCTAGCGAGAGCTTTCGGTCTCTCTGAGAATAATGTTTTATTTTAAGGTTCGGCTCTTCTTCTCACTCTTGTCCCTGGTGTTCTATAAATGCCTTTCCTCATTAGGAGCCACATATGTAGGCTGTCGCTCAAGTCTGACAGCAGGAAACATAAAGTAACCTTGAACTACTTATTGCAAAACACTGCGCTCTGTAATCTTCACACAAGCAATCACACACAGGTAACTGTGCTGTTATCTGCTCATTAATAGTGTTGTTTGTTAAATAGTCAACATACCTATAACTAGATTTTGAGGGATTTTATGTTTGTATAGAACCTGCAAGGGGGCATGGAGGGATTTTTTTTTCTTTTGCATTCCCTTGCAATACTTTTTTGCATTCCTGTGCAAAAGTTTGCATTCTTTCATGATGTTCTGCATCACCATGCAGGAGTTCATTGTTTTATATTAACTGTATTGAACAAGACTTTTATTTTGAAATATCCAGTTACCAAAAAGAATGTCACCACAAGTTAGGGAAACTGACAGTGATGTTGCATAGCTGCACAATAWCTGCATCTTACATACAACTCCAAGGCTGTGATATGTTCATTCCTGAGCTGAATTAAAGTACTAATTTTCATACAACACAACAGTAATAAACAAATTTTGCGATGAAACACAAAAAGTATTGAGGGAATGCAAAAGAGAAAAAATCCTCCCATGTCCCCTTGAAGGTTCTGTAGATTTGAGATACACGTCTCAGGCTGAGAATTCATTGCTTTTGTTGCCGAAACACAGAGGTGGGCACAGCTAGCCAAAACATTACATTCACTAACTACTAACCCCCTAAACAAGAATATTAGCTCTGCTATTAAACTGCTAAACATCCACACATCTTCATCTCTTTATAATTGAATTTCTATTGGTTTAATTTGAAGGTGGGCGAGATCATTTTTGGAAATTACACCAATCTGAACCAGAAATATAAATCTATGTAACTTGTGATAATTCTTGTTAATTTCTTTCAGAATAAAAATTATGTAGTTTGCATTTTTACAAATACCATTTGAAATCAGTCAGACAAGTAGAAAATATTTTCTCTACCATGTTTCATAGTATTTTTTGCATTTATTTAACTGTTATTCTTTTTGATGCTCTTAGTTTGAAGTTTAGCTGCCAAAGATGCTACATGCACACAAACTGTACCTGACAGCACTGCTTGTAAAATGCGACCAGGCCTAAAAAAAATAAATTAATTAAAAAAAGCTAACTGCTAATGGTTTTTAGTGGATTAGCAGTTTACCAGAACTGTGTCCCCCACTGCCGAAACACAAACATACTGTATATTAAACGATGAAATCTGCTTTTATAATTTTAGCTTTTATCCTCGCATTTTTTTAGCCTTTTAATCCTTCAATTATGCAAACCAATTTTTTCATATCAGCCTTGAAAACTGGTGATCAAGCGTGTTGTGTGCTTTGTGAGCATGCCAATATTACACAAATAGGAAGAGCTGTGAGGAAGGTGAGATGTTTTTTTTGTTTGTTTGTTTGCCAGCTCTAATTTATTTGTTTAGCAGTTGTATTCACACAACTGACCCACTTATCTGTGAAATTACAGAATTTACAGATATATCAAAACCTTCACTGAGTTAGATAGATAGATAGATAGATAGATAGATAGATAGATA